ACACACACACACACACACACTCACACACACGCACGCGCGCACACACACACACACGCACGCGCGCGCGCGCACACACACACACACACACACACACACACATACACACACTCACACACACACACGCGCGCGCGCACACTGTTTCTCCGTCCACAGCATTTTCATACTTAACATATTTGTTAACGTCACTCTGGGCGGTGGAAAGAAGAGTGGGAATGTGGCTCAGGATTCTTTGCTAAGGGTAGACGGATAACAACAGAGGAATTCTCTAGTGTCTCGGCACGATGTTTGATCCGTCTTCCCTTAGTCTTGCTACAATATTGTAGTGTTTTGGTCTTGGAGGAGGATATGCTGGGTAGATTTTTTCCACATGACGAAGAACAAACCACATATATTGAAATATTGTTTGCCTCTCTTTTAGCCCGCTATTTGTCTGTCTGTCTGTCTCCTGACGCCACCCCCTGTTTTTTTTGCCCATTTCTCTGTCTGTCTGTCTGTCTGTCTGTCTGTCTGTCTGTCTGTCTGTCTGTCTGTCTGTCTGTCTGTCTGTCTGTCTGCCTCTCACGCGCGCGCTTCTTTCGCTCATACCACTGTTTTTAAAATTAACACATACAATACATTGTCATGTGAACATATTTCTAATACGTACGTACACAAGCAAGTTTTTGTGTGTTTGTGTGTGGCCCTCTCCCTCTTTTTGCAAGCGTGTGTGTGTGTGTGTATGTGTGTGCGTGTGTGTGTATGTGTGTGTTTGTACCTGCCTATGTGTGCGCATGCGTGTACATTGCTTGCGCTCGTCCTTACACTGAAACAAAGTTATTAATTATAGACACGGGCTTCAATCTTACCGCACTCCGGGAGTGGGCTGACATAAACGAATGTGGGACCGTCCGCACATGTGAGAGGGCCAGTTGTCAGTGTCTTGCTTTTGACTTTTGATGCGGTCTGGCGATGGAAATGCTCGTTTTGCGTGGTATGTCTTAATTTGTTTCAGTCAGGACCCCACTCAAGGCACGGTCTTCCAGTTCTGTCTGGTGTTTGGAAATGGGTTTCTTAATCTGTCTTGTAGACAATATTAGCGGCGTGGTTCTCTGGCGCCACTGTCAAGTCCTAGATCTTTACTTTCCCTCTGTTGTTTCTATCAGTCTGTCTTAATGAGTGGTTGGCAGGTGCTCAGGTGTGTTTGTCAAATATTCCTTGTCTCACCTCCTTCTTTCCGTTGTTCCACACTCTCAAGTAACACCTGTAATCTTCGGCACCTATAAATATGACCTATTTGTGTTGCAAGTGCCGCAAAACTCTTACTTATGCCAAAACCAAACGTGCCCTTACAATGGATGACTATTATTGTGTCGATATCCTTTTCACTCTTGCTGAGCCTGAAGACAGAGACAGGATTGTTGAAGTTGGGTGTGTACCAAAAAACACATTCCAGTTATTTTTTAGACGTTGTTGTGTGAGTTTGTGTCGATGTTTTGGAAGAAAGTCTGTGACGTTTTTGCTCTGGTTGCCTCCGGCGTGGTGTGTTTGGTAGAGAAAGAGGAGTGGGGGGGGGGGGGGGTAAACGAGATAGTGGATTAACGGAAAAGGTTTGCAAAAGAGAGAAGGAAAAAAAAAAGAGAAAAGAATAAGGTTACTTTTTTGGTAGGGATATTTTCAAATACGGACAGACGTGGATCTTGCGATAATTCTGACATTTTTATTTTTTACTGCTGTAATGTGCACTAGGGCATGTGGATTTTCTAGCGAAGGATTTTCCGTTTCGTGTTTTGCGTGTCAGCTCGGTTTGTTTAGTAAACAAATGTGGTAGTTTTTATCAGGCTTAATTTTCATCTTATTTTCATCGTGTCTAGCTCTGACCTCTGAATTGCTGAAGTGTTGAAAGAAACAGTACATATCCGTCTGTTTAGTGCTGATACATGTTGATGGTTTGTTCAGTGACCCTTTGTGACAGTCGCGAGTTTTTGACAATGGGTTAGAGATTTATGACGTTGTGATCTTCTGCTGATGGCAGACGGATTGAAGTGACTTTTTGGATTAAAGATTATCGGAAGGAGGAGTGTTCCTTCACGTGACGTAAAAAAGTACGTGAACTGCAGTTTTTAGAAGGACTATTAACATTTTGGATTATGGATTCGAGAATGTTGCTTATAATGACAAGAGTGTGTGGACGAAGTTCATCAAAGGAAGTATAGACTAGCGTGCTGTTTGAACGCTGAGTGTGTGTAGTCCGGTCTATGGACTACGGTGCTGGCGGTCGAGGTTTGAATCCAGTTCTGCGGACGACCGTCAGTCAGAATGGGCAACAAACAAGGGACAGAGTTCCTCTCCTCCGACTCGAGCGCCGTGGACTCCCGCGGCCGGAGCTGGTCATTCCACGGAGTGGCCGGACGTCGGCGGTCAGCAGCCACCATCGGTGGTCACGGGGCCAGGACTCCGACAGCTCGGGACATTGAGGAGTTTGGAGAAGGAGGAGGAGGAGGAGGGGAAGGAACGGAGTTCCGGGAGAGGAGCGCGTCTCTGTCTGACGCTACGAGACCCGGGAGGCGACATCATCGATCGAGTAACCTCCCCGTGGTGCGGGGTTTGGCTGCTGACGCTGCTGCGGCTGTTTCTTCTGCTTCTTCTGGTGGTGGTGGTGGCGGAGGCCTTCACGAAAAAGGTTCGGCTGTTTACGGCAAAGGTCAAGGCAACAACAGGGGTCATGACCTTAAAAACACCAAGGCCGGGGGAGGAGGGCGTGGTGATGACGGCAGCCGTGGTGATCACAAACACAGATCGTCCTCAGGTCGAGGGGGTGCGCCCTCCTCTTCCTCTACCACCTCCACCACCACAGCCACCTCCACACCTACAGCGTCTGCGGATCCGTGGGTTAGACAGCCACCCGAGTGTGTGTCAGCGCCGCCTGGTGGATGTGAGGAGACTAGACACGAGGGGAAGGGAGAGCCACCATGTAGGAAAGAGTTGTTTAAAGACAGCTCTTCCTCCTCCTCCGGCAAGGCGAAAAACAAACACTCAGGCCGCACGGGGAAGCAGACAGCAGCAAATTCATCAGATACCACAACCAACAGAGATGTAAACCCCTCAAGTAAAGAGACCAGAAACCATAGTTCTAGCGTATCTGTTAAAGGGGATAAAGGCCATAATAGGTCCAATGCAGGTGGTAAGGAGAGTGGAGGGAGTAACATTCAAGTTCTTAAGTCGTCTCCGAAAAGGAGAAATCGTTTGCAGAAAGGACAGAATGTGGAACTAAGTTCTCCTGATGAGTTGGGTGACGTTTCATTGACCAAGGACAAAGTAGGTGATAGTGCAGCGGTCGGTGTCGGAAGAAAGGCCGTAGATTCAGGCGGTGTGCCAAGGCGTGGGGAAGAGACGGGTAGTAAGAAGCCTCAGCCCACAGTGAGGGTCGTTATGCGAGGAGAAGCTATGACATCACCCGATTCTGGTCATGCCAGCGCTGCTGGGACGCCGGATGGGATGTCACGCGCTCCCGTCACCACAGGGGAGACCATCTGCAGCCTGGGAGTCATCCAGTCCCGGCCCTCGTCGTACTCGGCTGCCACGAGTGTGACGTCGTCTTCCGGGAAACGCCCACCCCAGAGGCAGCTGTCGCACCCCGAGCGCTCGGTCAAGGCCACCACCGCGGGCAGGACTCAGTGGGCGAGCGCGTCAGTCGATGTGGACAATCGAGAAGCTGGGGCGACGGCAACGGCAACGGCAGCACCGACATCATCAAAGTCACTAATAAAAGGGCGTGATCGAGAGAGATTTGGTGTCCCATCGTCCACCGCAACGCGTCCTTCTGCTCTGAATCTACCCTCTACCGTGTCACGTGATCAGGCATTGACGTCAATACCCTTGGCACAATCCCGTTCTGATCAGTATTCCAAGGTCAAAGTAAGCGGAGGGGATATGAGTGCAAACGATTCCACTGTCTCCTCCAATGAGAGCCCGATCACAGTGACCCCGTTTTCCGACTCCCGACCTCTGGCGACAGGAAATAAGGATGTTTCTAGGAGCTGCATGCAGCTGGAAGTAGGTCAGAAAGTGGTGAGGAGAGAAAAACGTTCGGACGCACGAAGAGAGAACCGTTTTAGCTTAGATTTGAGTCACATGAATGGAAGCTCTGCAGGTTCGCCGTCAACCAGAGACGGTGGTAAGAAAGGTCATAACCCCATACTGGAGGAATCTGGTGTTTTGTTTCACAGTTTTGATGACGCGGGAGCTTCCGTTCCTTTTGTAACTAGTCAGGAATATGCTTTGTCGGACCAGTGGCTAGACAGTATTGGTCGTAAACGTCGGAGAGGTCTAATTGGCAGTGTCCATGATGAGGATGACGGTGGAGTCCAGTCACCGTCAACCCCCGCTTCTTCTGTCAGCCAACACGAGCGGGCGTCGCTTAGCAACCGTTCGTCCGACAACTACGACGGTTTTGTCGGAGAGCCGAGCAGCAGTAAGGCGGGGAGCATGAATCAGTCCGCTGGGGGTGAGTTCGCTATCACCACCACTGACTCGGGCTACAACACAGGTAGGAGCTGTTTTTCCTCCATCGACTACACGAGAGTCCCTCTCAAAGTGTCCACGACACAGGCCTGCGCCTCCCAGCCCCCGCCCGCCTCACAAACCGGGGGTAGCACCGGAAAGAACGTTGGGGTCGTTGGAGGTGGTTGTAGTTTCAGTAGTTGTAGTAAAACAACTAGTGGCACCTCTGCTGCTGATAAGACGTCTATGGTCCAGGTGGCGTCTTTCGCACGAGCGACTGACACGGAAGGTCGGCAGCACAAAGGCGTTAGCGGGGCTGACAGTGTAGTATTATCTGATGCTGTGGCCTACGTGAGTTCAGTCACTTCTCTTGTCCCCGGTGATGACACTTACGGTCCTCCCATTGTTTCAGAGATTGTTGACACTGGCAAGGATAGCCTCCCATCTGACCGGGAGAGAAAGTACATTCCAGATGATGCCATCTCAGACTGTGCGGGTAGTCACAAAGGTAGTGTGTCATCTTCTGGTTACGAAGGAGTGTTTGAAAAAGACAAACCACAACCTGCTAGTGATGTAATCATGCGTGTCGGCTCTAATGTTACAGGAATGTCCGTTAGTGAGTGTGAAGGAAAGGTGTTGAATGTTGTGGAGAGAATGACGTCATCATATGTGACTGGGGGTGACGAGGAGGTGGCTGTCACTGCTTGCGGAAGTGCAGGTCTGTCAGGGTCGGCTGGCCGTCACGGTGTGGCGGAGGGTGAGAGGAGGACAGGTGAGAGGAGGACAGGTGAGGAGGAAGAGGGGAACACTCAACGGGTTGGCCAGAGGGAGGAATGTGATGAAAAAGACCCTCTCTCTATCCCGAGGGAGATATGTCAGACAGCTGGCGATACTCTGTCAATCCAGAGGGAGGGAGTATGTGAGACGTCAGTGGGTGATGGTGAAATAATCGAATGTCTCCCCAAGCAGGATGTGTGTGGAAGTAGAAGTGGTCTCTCCATGTTGTCCTCCCCACCACCACCGCACGATGATGAAATCAGAGATTGCGATGAAATCATCAGCGGTAACGACACCGCCGCCACTCGAGCTGACAGAAGCAGCGGAGACGTTCGGGGAGAGAGCCGGGACACGGTGATCCCCTCACACAACAAAAACAACGGAGATAATTGGCCGGGAAGTGGCAGACTTTGTGACGAGGACCAGCGCTCATTTGGCGGGTCGCGACGCGAGCAAGTGGTGGTGGCTACCGCCGGTCGTGCTGATGGTGGTGAGTCGGAGGCGGAGCGCGACAAGTGTGTAGTAGGAGAGCACAGAAGTAATGAGTCGAAATTGGCACAGCGAACTGCAACAGTGGCAGTAGCAGCGGCAGGAGCGACACAGACAGCATGGTGTGTCGGTGGCTCGGTGCCGGGGGGACCCTGCAGTCTTTCCGACCGTGTTGTTGAAATCGGAAGCGATCAGAACCGGAGCGCTAGCAGCAGGCACACGGCACAGGTAGACAGGAGCGGGGAGGCGGGAGTACGACGCAGGTCTGAAGATAACGACGCTGCTGCTATTTCACTCGGCGGCATCGCCGGGAAAGGTTACGTCGGTCTAGATAGTTCGGCCGCTTATAAGAATTCGATAGCAGACGAGGGGAGAGTAAGTGCGGGAACCGAGGCGGTGGGGAGATCCTGTGGTGGTGCTGATGTTTCGGTAAGTGCACCGCTCACAGAGGGATCAGTGCAGGGAGACTTCAGGCAAAGTGTGAAGAAGGGTGAAAGTGCTTCTAGTGTTGGACCTACGATGTTTGACGGATCTGGTGAGAGTGTTTTGGAAAATAAGCACTCTGTTCATGTCGGTGCGCAGTTTGTGTGTTCGGATTATGGGACTACTACGTGCGAAACGCCAGTCACGTATTTGGAGTCTCGAGTTGATGAAAATGATGAAGATGAAGGAGATAATAGCCCCGTCTGGCGACGTCTTGAATCGGAGTCAATGACGCAATTCCCTCCACCTAACAAGACGACGGACACAGACCCAAACATACAACAGTTTCTTGCCGCTTCAGGTAACAGCAAGTTTACATCGCAAAACAACAATAAATTCACTGCTCAAAATCGAGACGAATTTGCCGTCCAGAGTAAGGAGAAGTTCCCCGATGATATCAGTAATGTTTTGAACTCGCGCGGACCTCGTTATGACACCGCAGATGTAATTATTTCTTCTTCCCTGCTTGAAGATGGTGACAGCAGTAGTTGTAGTAAGGTCAACAACATGGGATGGTCAGGCTACCAGGCATCGCCACCGACAGACCCCGCCGCGGGCTACGGGGACAAGCAAGAGATGGGAGATAGATTGCCAGTGAGCGCGGTGGACGGTGTTAGGACGAGCCAGCGGTCAGACGGCGAAAAGCCGGACACGACAGCAAGCTCTGTAGCTTTGCGAGATGCGGGGAAAACAAATGAGATTTTTGGTGGGTCGGCGAGTTTGGGAGACTCGCCACGTGGAATGTACGGTCAAGTCGATGACACTGTCTCCAAATCAGTCGCGTCCAGGTACTGTGTTGAAGTGACCAATCCTGGCTACGAGACGGACAGTCTGGAGAGGAGTAACGCCGCCTTGTCTGCTTCCAAGCTCAGAGAAGTTTCGCAGTCGTTGTACGGAGGGAAGTTTGCAGACCACATGAATAACTCTTCAATGCGTTCTACAGCGACTAAAGCGGGCAAAAGGTCTTCCGCTTCCGCGAATATTGCCACTTTGACGAAAGATATGTGTGCGTCTGAGAACTACATCGGAGATTTGAGTCGCCGTAGAGGCACAGCCAGTTTATACAGGGATCTTTCTCTCTCCGAGAACAGCATGTTGGACAGTCTAGATAATGACTGGCCCTACTCTTCGGATACTTTCGGGAAAAGTTTTGAACCGTCGGAAAATTTTGCCGAGAGTGTCAAATCAATATACTCGCAAGGCGAGAAGTCGCTGTCGATGGCGGACTGTTCGTACCCACTTGACGTCGTCAAGTCATACAGTGCCGGGGGGTTCCAGTGTCAAACGTCGTCAGAACTGAACCTCGTCTCCCCGGACCAGAGCTCAAGCCAACTAGACTTGCTCAACGCCAGCTCCAACAGCATGGAGGCTCTGCCTTCTAAAGAAGAGTCGTCCGCTTGTGACGACAGCGTTCTGTTTCCTCTTTGGGATGAAGAAGAAGAGATGGAGGTTGAGATGAGGCCTCGAACAAATTCTGCCACTGCGGCGGAACTCGCTTCCAGAACGCGGGGTAAGATCGCTATGGGTATGGCGAGTGCCCGGATCAGGAGGTCTTACGCTAGTCCCGTGAAGGAAGAGTACCCGTCTCCCGTGAGACCGTCGTCAGGAGAAATCTATGCGCGAGTTGATAAGTCGATCCTCGGCTTGAGAAATAGCCCGTTAGTTGTGGGTTCGTATCCCACTGAGACGATGGGATCGGGTTTGATTAGTCAGATATCAGTTCCAGAAGGTGCGTCGGAGAAGGTTACTATTCCTTCCCCAACCATAGCGTCGTCTTCTCGAATGTTCCAGAAGTCTACAGCTAAAAATCTGTTCTCAAGACCAGAGGATATTAGGCCACAGACCATCCCCGGCCTTTCGCCACGGCAGTCTCCATACGCCGGACGTAAAAAGTTCTCTGCGTCTACGCGCACCCCAGAGCTGAACCGCAGTGCTGCGTCAAATTCTGATCTTCAGCAAGATCAGCAGCAGCGACGCCAGCAGAAACAGCAGCTCAAATCGGCAAGTATCGACATTCCGGTGAGCAAACACCCTCGCTCGTCTGACCCGGACCATCCGGAGCAGCCCGCGGACGACATAGGTGACCACCTTCCTACTGCACGTCACGGAGCGTCGCAGAACTTCAACATACCCCGTCAACGCCATTCTCTGGACAGCGGTCAGAACTATCTGTCGCAGTCTGCGGATATCTCACAGCCCCACAGCGCTTTCTCCTACCACTACGGATATAATAAGAACAACCCGTCTATTCACCCACACGGCTACCACCCTGGTGCGGCCGGTGCAGGAGGAGGAGGAGGCATCACTGGCTACCCTGAAAGTTTATCCGCCAACAAGGAGTTTATCCGCATGCTCTCGTCCTCGCTCCCCAGCCACCAGCACGGGTTTCCTGCTCTCCATGCCCCCATGTCCAGGGCCAGCATCAATTTGGCGCCACTTCCAGAAGAGGTGAGCCCGGGAAACACGCTCCTCAGCGCCAGCGTCCCATCTGGAGGGAACGGGTTCAGTTCCCGCTACCACGCCGTGCCCAACTACAAGGACCCGCCCCTCCTTCCGTCCTCATCTCATCATCATCAACACCTTGTTCATCTTCATCATCAACGTGTTCATTCGCCCCAGCGGTTCGCCCCACAACCACCCGCTCAAGTCTTTCACTTAAACCAGCAGCGACGAAGCGTCTCGTCCTCGCACCTGCCAGCCGCCCAGAGACACCCCTTCCACCCCCACCACCCGCACTGCGACCCCCAAACAGATGACCTCGGCAACGACCATTATACCAGCGACCTCCGTGGGGGTTCCGACGTGCAGCAATATCCTCTGTACGCCGAGTCCGCGGATATCCGTCCTCGCAGCCGCTCGATGATTAACCCGCCTGGTCTAGAACTGGCTGCTCGCCTTCAAGGCTCGTATGCCGGACACCCTCTCACCAGCGCGGACCGTGCCTGGAGCTACAGTATGGCCTCTTTGGTGGATGGCACTTCCGGTTTTGGGGGCAATGGTGAGTCAGCCCTTCCGCTTTTTAGCCATAATTTAATATGTCGCTCAGGGGTGGGTTTTTTGTGTGGGTTGATGATACAGGGAAAAACAGCTTATGGGAGGGGGGGGGGGGATTAAAAAATATGTTTTGTGTTTGTGTGTGTGTGTGTGTGTTTGTTAGTGTTTGCCTGTGTGTGTCTATGTGGGCGAGAGAGAGAAAAGGAGAGGGAGAGTTAGAGAGAGAGGGAGCAAGGGCAGGAGAGGGAGAGACAGAGAGAGAGAGAGACAGAGAGAGAGAGAGACAGAGAGAGAGAGAGAGAGAGAGACAGACAGTCATAGAGAAAGAGAGCGAGAGAGAGAGAGACAGACAGACAGACAGACAGTCA